CCTTTCCGTCATCAACTCCTACTTCGACTCGCACCGGTCCCTCGCGCTCGCCATCTCCGCCTCGGGCAACGGCATCGGCAGCGTGTTTCTCCCCGCCACCATCCAATACCTCATCCCGCAGATCGGCTTCCCCTGGGCCGTCCGCGCCTCGGGCCTCCTCGCCCTCGTCATCTCCTCCCTCGCCCTGCTCCTCCTCCGGCCCCGCCTCCCCCCCCGCCTCGCCGGCCCCCTCATCGAATGGTCCGCCTACCGCGAAGCCCCCTACGCTCTCTACACTCTCGGCGCCTTCCTCTTCTTTATGGCCCTCTACTTTGGCTTCTTCTTCGTGCGTTGCCCCCCCCCCCCCTTTCCCCCTTGCACCACAAATCTAATCGGGTCAGATAACCCCTTACGCCCGCAACATCGCCTCCTTCCCGACCACCCCCTCCGTCCACCTCCTCCTCCTCCTCAGCGGCCTCTCGGTCCCGACCCGCCCGCTCGCCGGCTACCTCGCCGACCGCCACCTCGGTCCCGTCAACACCTTCACGCTCGCCACGCTACTCCTCGGGCTCATGTGCTTCGCGTGGACGGGCGTGCGGTCGCGCGCGGGCATGTACGTGTTCGCCGTCTTCTTCGGGCTGGCCAACGGCGCGGCGCAGGGCGTCTTTGTCGGGTCGCTGGCGAGCCTGACGGCGGATCCGAGGCGCATGGGGACCAGGTTCGGCATGGTGTGCACGACGGCGGCGGTGGCGACGCTGGCGGGGCCGCCGATGGCCGGGGCGATTATCGATGCGAGTGGGGGTGGGTATGTCGGCGCGCAGGTGTGGGCGGGGGTGGTGATTTGTGCGGGGGCGGCGTTGCTGGGGGCGGCGAGGGTGAAGATGGGGGGATGGGGGTTGGTTAAGATTTAAGGGGGGGTGTAAGTGGTCGTTGGCGGTGCTTGGGGTAGGTGGCACTTGGTGAGCCTCGGGGATACAGGGGGCCCGTTTCAAGTTAAGAAAACCCGTGGAGGTGGCATGTGTCAAGTTAGTTGGTCTACTTGGCATTCTATCTTCGGGAGATGCATCTCATTGAAAATGTTAAAATTTGTGACTGCATCTCGTTGTGTGATGTTGATACTTGAATTGCCCAAGACACCATAGGGGGTGCGGCTATCATCGGGCCGTCGACATGTCTCATCCCCCCAACCCCGGATTTGGACCCTGCCTGCCGCCAAGACGGCGCCTCTCAGGGGCCAACTCGTCATTGCACGGCAGGATCGCGTCGACTTTCACCTGTCATCTGATCTTTACCTATCTCGACATCTCATCTGAACACCTCATCTCAATCGTCGGCTCGTTTTTCCCGCAGCCGTCTTCCATCTCACGAGTGTGCGCCTGCGCGCCGCATTGATGATATCGCAGAGATGGCGATTGGATTTTTGGAGATCCTCTCCATTGTCTTTGGCTGGGTCTACTTTTTCGCGTGGTCGCTGTCGTTTTATCCCCAGTCCTTGCTGAGTTGGAGCAGAAAGTCGACGTCGGGGTCTACAGTTGATTTTCCGTTTCTGAACTCGTTGGGTAATTCCTTTTCTGTTTTCTTGGTGCTTTCCTTCAGAGAAAAAGAGAAATATCGATACTAACCAAAAAAACAGGCTTCTTCGCCTATTTCGTCTCCAACCTGGTCTTCTTCTACTCGCCCCTCATCCGCGAACAATATGACCGCCGCCACGAGGGCCTGGCGCCCACGGTCCACATCAACGACATTTGGTTTGCCGGCCACGGCTTCTTGCTGTCCGTCATCACCGCCTCGCAATACTTTCTCCCCCATGTGTGGGGGTTCCGGCCCAGCCACGGGAGCAAGCCCAGCCGCTTCATCATGGGCGTCTTCTCCGGCTGCATCATAGGCGTCGTCTTTATCGTCCTCGTCGTCCTCCGCTCCCCCCACCGCAATAGCGTCGACGGAGACGTCGTCAGGTCGTCGTGGGTCTGGCTTGACGCCACGTACGCCATCAGCTATGTGAAGCTGGTCGTCACGTTGATCAAGTACACGCCGCAGGTCATCGTAAACTACAAGAACAAGTTGGTTCTCCAATCCCTTTCGAACTGCCCCAGAAACTGACATGACTAGGTCGACCGTGGGCTGGAGCATATCCCAAATCCTCCTCGACTTTGCCGGCGGCGTGTTGAGCATCACCCAGCAGGGCATCGACAGCTATCTGCAGGGCGACTGGTCTGGGATCACGGGGAACCCCGTCAAGTTTGCGCTGGGCAATGTGTCCATGATGTACGACGCCGTCTTTGTGACACAGCATTACGTCCTGTATCCCGGCGGCAAGGAAAAGGCTGCCGAGACCGATTCTCTACTCGGGAGACAGCCGGAGGATGAAGAGCGCAGGATATCCTGAGCTTGGTCGTCTGTATGGACTAGTGTACCATCCACATCTACCTAACCAGCCGTCGTGAAAAGACACACCCCCTCCCAGTCCACCACCAACACTCACCCCTCCACCTCCTTTCCAAATCCTCCTTCCACCCCCGCTCTGCATCGGCGTACGCATCATCACCCCACAAGAACCCTTGAATCTCGGGACACGTCCACCGGCTCGGAAACCCCGCCTCCACCTCCTCCCTCCCCAAGTTCCTCGCAAACACCTCATCCCTCCTCCTCTATGCCTCCCCATCCGCCAAGTGCATATCATCCCTCTGCCGAAACCCCTCCATCTGAATCATCCAGAGCGAACCACTAATAGTCATTCCAATTAAGTACCTTCTCGATGTTTTGATAGAGATCGGCCATCTCATGTTGCTGTCGAGTTGCTTAAAGAGGAAGGTCGATTAGGCCCCTTTTCCGCTCTTACCCACTGCTAGGCCGACTTTATGTTGTCATCTCGGCCTGATTAGAAGAACTAAGGGTGTAACCTCTTGACACCGACAGACCGACAGCTATTGCGCAGTTGGAGTGGCTAAAATACGGAATACGAAACTCAGTACCACAAGCCAGGACCCGGTTGATCTGCGGCGGAGATGCACGACGCAATATATCCAAACAAGGGAATGTCTTGGAGTAGAGTCACCGAGACCCAATCCATTGCATTTGTCAACTAACCGTTACCCCTGAATCGGAAAACAGCCATGTCAGACCCGGCACGACTATTGCCCCGTACTGACAAGAAATAGATTCGATGCAGACCCGGACGCAAGAATAGCATCTTGTACCCCAGATTCACTGTAGAAACAAGACTGTATTGGTCGCCTTGCAGTTAAGCGTAAATTTAAATCTATAGTATGTCTTGAGATCTTGGCGCAGAGATTATCATCCGGACGCGTACGAGTGCAGCATCGCCGAGTACTTAAGCGTCCACAATTCCCAGCTCATCATTCACCATGAAACACCTCAACTCCATCATCTCCCTGCTCTCCATCCGCCAGCAAAAGCAATAAACAAAATGAAAACCCTCTCGGCCCTTCTCATCGTCGCAATGGCATCTCTTGCCTCGGCCGCCGTTGGCGGCTACTGCGACGGCAACCCAGAGCGCAAGTGTCTCTGCCTCGTCGATACCACATGCAGAGGCATCGGCGGCACGCCCGTCCAGGAATACAAAAATGGAGCTGGCTACCCCTGCCCGCGCGACCCTGGAAATGTTTGGGGGTGCTACATTTGGTGTGACTAGGTGATAGGCATTCCATGGCCTGTTGGCGGTAAGTTAGCTTGGATGTCTGTTGTTTTTTTTACGTTGCTAACATCACCAAGATGCCTGTTAGGGGACTGAGCCTCGTCGCCAGAAAGAGTCGCGGTGGGTAAAAAAAGAAAGGGGATTGCGATTCGGGCTGGGAATAAGGGCAGGTTGCGGTACCAATTATTTCAGCTGCTCAATAACATCACCAATATCCTTCCCATCCCTCCTGCCGTGTCGGTGCTGCCCCTACAAAACTCCATTTCGATGCCGCCTACGCAAAGAAAATAGGTAAGAATGGAGCCTGGCGCCCAAACACGTAATGAGAAAACGTCTGATTTAGCACGAGCTGGTTTGCTGGATGCGTTTACACGTACAGCCGCCGTTGGGTATCGGAACACCAGCCGAATGCTGATACTATGGCTACGATTGCTGGAGCTGGACCTTCAGAGGGACCTATCCCGGGCGCTAAATGGGGCTGCGCCTAGCATTTAACTTGTTTGAACCTAACGGCAACCCCCGGTCGCATCAACGATGACGACGTGGAGGGGGTTGGTATCTGATGGGGGGTGGGGGGTAGGAGTGGCCATGTTGGGATGTTTGGGTGTCAGGGTGAAGTAGATAGAGACAAGGTCAGACACCAGAGCGAGACGATATGGCTATGGTCTTTTCTCGGGTTAGAAGGGACAAGGTGGTCAAGGTGAAGGACTCCGGGGAGAGGGCTACAGCAGATATGTCTCCGCCCCAAGTAGTTCTCTCACACGTGAGCCCATGGACAGATGCGTCCAACAGATCCCGAGGCAGGACCGTGTCTGCCGGCGCCGATTGCCGGTGCCGGGTCGGGCAAGGATAGGTAGTGGCACGAGATAAACGCGGAGGAGGGGATGCGGGAAACGGGTGCGGAGTTACAACTCCCTGCGGTTCCGCCGGCGGCCGTTTCCTGGGGCCCAAAATAAAAAACCACATCATCTAGCTGACGCCATTTGCACTGACAAAAAATAGCGAGCAAAAAAAGAAATCCGGGCGAACTCAACAACCACCAAAGCCAAAAAGAAAGTCAAAAATATTTGCGTCAGCCGCGAATCGAACGCGGGGCCCATCGATGTTGCACATGGCAACGATGGATTTTACCACTAAACCACTGACGCTGGTTTGCTGATTGGATATTCATTCTGCTCGCAATTGAACCTCATGGTGCAGAGGCACATTATCCGTGGAGTGGGAGCTTTAAAGTGGGACCGTCTGCCACGGGAGTCAACAACCCCCTGAACCAGCCTCAAAACCGAAAAGGGGAGAGGAGGGTGGGTGCAAAAATACCAGCACCCCTAAAAAGACGAAATCCCCTATCCGAGAGGTCGCTCTGCATTGCGTCAACCCCGAATCGAACGCGGGGCCCATCGAGGTTTGCACGCATGGCAACGATGGATTTTACCACCAAACCACTGACGCTGGAATATGCTGTGGGTGATGGAAGTTGGAGTCGCGTGAATTTCCAAAACAAGTGGACGGTGGGTGGGTTCATGGTGCGTTGCAGTGAGTTTGAGGGCTGGGGTCTGGCTCGCGCTGAGGGTGGGCGACATAGGGGGTAGAGATAGGCGCGGGGGATTCCTGCGGTCTTTTCGTAGCTTGTGTTTTGCCTTTGCCGTTGGGGTTGTCGCGTGGAACTATGTAGTTGAGTCGAAGGTTGAGTAGCTGGGTGAGGAGAGGCCATGATTTCGAGTCTTGGCGCAGTTGAGCAGGGTTGCTGTGTGGAAACTGGCTGGTAGAACGACCCCTGAGTAAGTAAACAATGATTGGAGACAACGACCAAACACCCCAGGAAGACTTATTTGGCACCAAACCAAACACCAAGCACCAAGCACCATAGTTCATCATTCTAGCGCCAACACATATAAGAAAACTTCATATTGACCCGCTGGGCATCCTTTTCTAGTACTAGCTAAAGTATGCCTTGGAATATGAAATCTAACAAAAACGAACAAAAAAGAGAAACCGAAACAATCTCAGGAGCCAACCCAACCCTTCTAGTCCGACTCTCGTAACCATCACGACCAAAAATCCCCCCAAGGCTGGCCAGACCTCTTCGTCCCCACATAAGCATACCAAGCCCAGTTTCCATCCCCTCATTGCGACACGAACACTCATCTTCATCATCATCGTCATCATCAGAAAAACACACATCCACCCCCCCAAATTCACGTCTCATTTCCACACTTTACTTCTTGTCCTCTCCATCGTCTCCATCGTCTCCATCCTTGTCCCCCTTGCCATCCTTGCCCCCTTTCTCTTCCTCCTTCCTATCCTCCAAACGCCCGAGCGGGAACAACGACAGCCGCAAATCCTCAACCGACACCCCCTGCTGCTGTCCCATTCCCTGCGTCGTCGTGGTCGTCATCGTCGGCTGCGGCTGCGACTGCGTCTGCGGCGGTCCAATCGGTCCAAACGGCGACCCTCCCACCCCCCTCGCTCCCACCCTCCAAGACGCAGCAGTCGCAGGTCCAGGTCCTCCACACGTCACACTCCTCTGCCCAAACCTGCTCGCAACCGACATAGCAGCGCCACCACCACCACCCACCCCAAACCTCCTCGGTCCAGGCGGCGGAGTATGGTCCCCGGACAACGACGGTGCCGACGGTGCCGACGACCTCGCCAGCTCTCCCTGCTGCTTCCTCCACCACGCCGGGAGCCCGTGAAACAAGCCCAGCGAGTGCTGCGTCGCCTTGTCCTGCGGCATCTCGTGCTTGTACTTGCATCCCTGCTGGGTGAAGGCGCAGATGCCCTCGTGGACCCACTTGTCGCAGTAGATCTTGACGCGTCTCTGGGGCGGGGCGGCGGTCGCGCTGCGGGGGACGGGGGTGGTCGGGCTGGTCGTGGCGGGCATGGCGGGGATGGTGCCGGGGCGCGTCTGGTTGGCCGAGCGGGCGGCCACGATGCCGTCGATGCGGGCCTTGTGTGGGGGCGACCACCCCAGGGGGCGGAAGTGGTTAGCTGCGAACTGTGAAGAGGAGGAGACCGGGGTCTTTGGTTAGAGGGGAGAACAGCGCTTGCGTGGAGGGTGTGGGGGGTGTATTTTCTGGGGGGGGGGATCTTTTCTTGGCCCGCGAGGGACAAGAAAGGGCGGAACTCAAGGAGATGGGCGAAAGGAAGAGGGCAGATGTATAGCTTACCTGGAGGTCCTCGGGGGGGTAGACGAGGCCAGCGTGGCCCTCGTACGGGTTCTGGGTGGCCGAGGCTGGCGAGTGCTGGTGGTGCTGGCTCGACGGAGATGCGGACTGGGCGTTGTCCTGCGCGAGTGCGGTCAGCTTTTCCCTTTTCATCCGAGTTGTTTTCACGGCCAGCCAAAGAAATTGGTTGCTTGAACCCGCCTTCCATCCTAAGACCACAAATGCCACCTCTAGAACCCACCAAGCCCAAAGAAAGAACTTCGCGAGAAACATACCTGAACCGCATTCCCCCGAACCGCAATCCTCCGGTGATACACCCAGTGTCCATCCGGTGCCGGCACCCTGGGCGGCGGCAGCACCCATATTCCCGCCACATTACCCACCTGCCTTGGGACCCCCACCAGCGGCGGCAGCATATCCGCCGGCACAAGCGGCGTGTACATGCCCAAGCCGCGGTGCAGCGCGAACATGTGGTACGGCGGGCGGTCGACGGGTGCCGGAACAGCGCCGGTCCACGTCGACTCGTCCTGCGCGGCCTGGTCGACGAGGGGGTTGCGCTCGCTCAGCGCGTACAGAGTCATGGCGTGTTGTTGGTCGGCCGACTGCGCGTGGTTCTGGACGTCGGCGAGATACTGCGCAAGGAGGGCCTGCTCGGCGGCCGCGTCGTGGTCGGGGCCGCGGATGTGGGGGTTGCGGACCGAAGGGTCGCGGAACCTGTGCAAATCCATGACCGCCGGGTTGCCGGCTGCGAGCTGGTGGTGAAAAGCTTGCTCTCGGTAGAAGGCCTCGTGGTCTTGGGGGGGCAGGGTGGCGGGGCAGGCGGCGGGGGTCACAGCGAAACCGCTGGGCGTGGTCATGGGGATGGGGGAGGGCTGACCGGGGGCGCCAATACCAAAGTATCGGTCGTCAGAGGAGGCAAAAGAACGCGCGCCCGAGTGGACGCTCGTGGGGGAGCCGATTCCAGCGCCGAGACGAGACCCGCCGAGATAGAGATTTCCAAAGGCGGTGGTGGCCTGAGCCCTCAAAAATCCAGCCGGCAGGCCTCGAGGCGAGGAAACAGCGGCGGCATTGGTGCTCATCTGGTGAGCGGTCGGGGTGCTGGGCTCGGCTGGCAAAGGGTATTAGGGAATGGCAAACCTTGGACGGAGGAAAGACTTACCCTGCTGGCCTTTCGAGCGTGCGTCTATGGTCGAGGCCTGGGCCTCTGGAGTTGTGGCAGCGTTATTGAAGCTGCCGCCTCGGTTGCTACCGAAGCCGTAGTTGGGGAACTTTGCGGCAGTGCGGTGTGGAGGGAGGGAGAAGTGATCAGAGCCGGTGAAGCGGGTGGAGGGCGACGTGTTTCTGGTAGCTGTTCGACGTGGCTCGTCGGTCAATTATTCGAGAGAGACGGAAGAGGGAGTCCAATGGTATGAAAGGTGACAATGAGTAGAATGAAAAGCATATCATCTCCCAGAGGAAAAGCATTGAGCTGGTCAAGAGTAAAACACCCAGGCACGCTCAAGTGGAGGGAAAATATTAGATGCTTGGGGCTGCGGGGGTCCAACAACTTTGGATCACACGACCGCTGCCTGGGAGTGCTTCAACGAGGAGGGGAGGGTATACTCTCTTGAACGGGCAGGTGCTCTGAAAAGATACGGATAGACGGCGAAGTACGCGATGCTCTCTGCCCAAGACAGAGCTTCCAAGCATAAAGGAGAAGAACTGCTTACCTCGAGCGATGGGAACAAAATCAATCCCAGCCTGACGGTGGCTACCTGTTTTGGCGCTAGTGGTTGCGCCGCTCGAGTCGTGATAACGGTGAGGCGAGGAGGAGGCAGCTCGAGAAGGAAAGAAGCGCTCCGGGCCCTCGCCGTGGCTGCGGAGCTCCGGGGCCGCGGTAGGAGTGCGGTCATCGGCGTAGCTGCCGAGCTCGGTGCCCGCGGTAGGAGTGCGGTCAGCACTACCTCTTTCTCCCCGACGGCTACCGTTTACCACTTGACGGGAAGCTCCAAGGTCACGATCTGCTCTCGTTGTGCCGGCGAATTGCCCCTTGTTGTATCCCATCTCCTCTTCAGTCCATCCGTTCGCGGATAGGCAGAAACGCGCATCATGGTAGTTCTGGTCAACACCGGCGGAGTCCTCACCTACTCTGTCTTCGGCAATGGAGTACTGGAGATGTCGGGACACGCTAGGGTCACGCAAGTAGATATAACGATTTCCACACTCCGTGACAGAGTGCGGAACCGAGCGCGGCACATCTTGTCTGGCAGTGGTGGGAAGCTCCGGGGGCGAGGGCGGAGGAGACGCGGGCTTAGTGGGAGCCACCACGGCAGAGCAGCCCATCGCTCCCGCCATGGTGGAAGTTCGGCCGACTGGTGACCCCGTGAGAAGGTCTGTGTCCGATGGAGGCGAACTGAGTCCAGAATGTGCAGCGCGGATGGGGTATTTCATGCTGGGCGGTCGGAATAAGGTAGGTAACTTGAACAGGAGTGCAGTAGCGGTGACAAGGCCGGCGGTCGAAATCACGACCAGGAGTGAAGGCAGAGACAGAAGGGACTAGGGTCGAGGATCCAGTGTCAGTGAAAAGGGGGGGAGGGTAGCTTGTCTGGACTGGTGTCTATACCGAGACTGATGAACAAACGGAGAAACCACAGTCTGGCAGCCCCAGCATTCCCACTTTTGCCGCTGTGAAGGCCGGTTCACCTCGCTAGGATATAGCACCCTCCTTTTCTGTTGGAGCGGACGTGAAGGGGCTTGGTTGTTGGGAGAGAAGGGCTGGTATGTCGACGTTGGGTCTGAACGGGGGACGGACAAACAAGACGTCCAGCTAGGGAAGAAGCAGAGATGATGAACGGAGGTGAGAAAAGGACTTGGCAAACAGGGCGTTCCAAGGATAGCAGTGGTGAGCGATGGCACGTTGTTGCTGCCGTGGCGGCGGATGCAGGCGTGTATATGCGGCAACGCGGGAACCAGGGGGGGCAGCACCGGAGAGATCCTGGGAGATGGATGGCCAGAACACTTGAAAGGAGGAAACAACCCATTCTTTATAGGTATTGGAGGGGGAAGAGCAATATGGTTTCGGGCTCTTGTGGGCTTTACCTTGCTGCCTGACATTCACCTTATGTCGTCTTGGGATGCTTTCGGGGTGCGTGTCCTGCATCTGTCCTTCACACATTCCCACCTGTTTCTCCCCCCGGAGTTTCACCCTTGCCTCCGGCTCACTGTAGGTTTGCGTGGTTAGTTCAGTTCTTGCTTGTGTGGTGCCTCTGCGGGCCGTGCTGGTGGAGACGCTGAGGGCATGGCCGC